AATGCAGTTGGGTAAGAAAGGGGAACAGAAAAAAGAGCAGTTGGGAGTGATTGGAATAATACGTTGAGTTTGGTTGATGTTTCTGCTCTTTGGGTAAGTTTTTGGTCTCCAATGCATTAGAAGTGTACTGGGATCAAAGAAAGCAAATTATGAAGTCTGTAAAAGAAACTTTGATAGTAGTTAACTCTTAAATTAAAAAGTAACGAGAGCAGTTCTTTTCATCAAGTAGTTATTGTGTCTGGTCTTAAGAATTTTTAAAAAATAATCTGTGTAGACTAGCAGGAGTGAAATTTTATCCTCAAAAGAAACATCAACATTGCAGTGGATGAGCCAATAAAAACTTATTTCTGTAAATCCAAAAGGTTTGAATGCCTCTGTCAAAAATAGTATGTTTTTCAAGGAATAAAAAAACACAGACTGTGGTATTGGAAGAGACTCTCTGTACAAGTTCTGAAAAAATCTGAGAGAAACATGGGCCCAGCCTCCCCCTCCTATTTGACAGACTTTGGGTAGCAATAATAAAACGGAAGAAGTATGCTTAGCTTTTATGTCAAATTGTGTTATAAAGCAGGTTGATACATTCTAAGCAAAGGTCAGCTAATTAAGAACTGCATTATATAGAGCAAGCAGAAGTTATTGGTGGGTTTTGGGCAGATGGGTTGTTTTGTTTTATACAGTTTTGGGGAATTCTTCCCTCTCTCTTAATTTAGTTTCTATATTATATGTGTTTGGGGGTGGGGAGATTTCCCTGTGGAAGAGAAAAACCTAATTGCACAGGAGAGAATACTTTAAACGCTAGTCAAGTTAGCAAGAAAAATAAGATCTGATATTTGGAAAATGAAGGACCCTGAATTTAGGGACCACGTTTACTGGTATTCACATCATGTGACTATATCAGTTCTGGACTATGTCTCCTCGTGTTTTGGTAATCCAATTTTCATTTATAGAAAAAAGGATTTTCCACCTATGAAAGTGATTGACCAGTATAACCACTTACTACTATCTCCTTTGTTAAGAAATTGGGTTCAGAGAAACAATGTTCCAGGAGCTTTAATGGAGCTCCTGACTCTGACCTCTCAAGAGTAAAATCATTATTCATAGAAAATATGTAAGAAAAAGGGGTAAAGATTAATGTGCTGAGAAAATGCTATGAGATGCTGGAAAGGCAATTATGTGAGGTAAGTTCTCTGTAATATTTCTAAAAAAGGATCTCCTTTCTCTTTTTTTTTTTTTTTTTTTTTTTTTTTTGAAGAGAAGGACAGAGATCAGCAGAAATGATACATTGCAGAGAACCTTGTAATACTGGAATTAAAATATAAAGAATTTCCAAAAAACTTGATACACAAATGTTGGAAGGTATAGGGGAATTCAGATCTCTTACAGATGAATAAAGCAGAAGGAACCTAGTGATACATGCACAAAAAAAGGTACCAGGACAGATATGTTCTTGAGCTGATCTAAAATAACAAAAGTCTTTAAAGATTGGGTAGGGACAGAGATTATTTAAACAGAAAAACTAATAACTCCCCAAATTTGTCTTTTTCCATTTGATGTTCTGCTATTTTCTAAGCAGGGTTTTAAAGCTGAGGAAAGATTGGGGTTTTTTGTTTGTTTTTTGTTTTAATCTACCACTGTAAGAGGCAAGGATGATCCAATCGGTATAATACAGACCTTATGAGAACTCTAGTAGCCAAAGGCACTTAGTTGAAAAAACAGTTGTGCGAAACCCTGTTCAGCATTTTAGTTTGTTTAAAAAACAATAATAATAAAAAGAAAGAACCTTAGCATGTATAGTACCTGCGTGTTCTGTGCGTGTTGCTTTATTTTTGTTTTATTTAAGAGATCTATTTTTTTCCAGTGGTAAGCACACAGTAATTTGAAGGAAGTCATTTAGGCAGCTAGATAAGATCAGAAATCTGGTTAATAGAACCCATTTTTAAAATCTTGACTTTGCTGCCAGATAAGGAACTCTTGATAACATAAATTTTACATGTTTCTGAGACTTAACTAGAACAGTAGTATGATTTTTATCAGTTACTACTTTTTCTAGATTGATGATACAGATGCAATGGAAGATGTACATTCTCTCCTGACAGATGTTCCACCACCTTCAGGTATACTTAAAAAACTTCCCACCACCCCCCCCCCCCCGCCCCCCACCCCCCCACGGTTTAATTTGTCAAATATACCTGTGGAAAAACAAGTTATTAAGGTTTTTGGGAGGATTGTTACTTATTGAAAACTGGGGCAGCAAAGGAATTTGGGTGCCTTGTAGTTTACTAATTTGTACTGTTGTTGCAAATTTGTTGTTACTTCATATAGATATAGCAAGTTAAAACAATTAGATCTTTTCTACTTGTATATTTCTGAAGATTTTTAGATTCTGGATGGCTGATTGTAGGTTTAAGGGTCACTGAAAGTGGAAGTATGGAAAGTGGTCTGTTGCTTAAGTGTTTTTAGCCATGTAATGTGACACATTGTTGTTTTATTCCAATAATGTTATTTTAAGTGAGCAATTTGCCCATCTAGCACTCTTGTTCATCAGGTGCATTTTTATTTTCTTTGCTGTATGACTGCATGATCCTATCCATTTAATAGTCTTTGTTTCACTGGATTTTTGTTCTTTAACGTTGAGAAGGCAAAGTTCAAAATGAGACAGGGTTCTTAAATCACCTGTAGCATTTTCATTCAAGTCAGTATCGGTCATATTCCGTAGCAAGCAAGAAAGTAACATGATTTCTTCAGAGTTTTATAGATTCATAAAAACAGTATCGCAACTTGAGAACATAAAACTGATTAAGTAGATTTTCAAAATTCAGCTGTCAGACTGGAAATTAATGTCTTTTTACTCTGACACAATGCAACAGTTGGGACCGTGTCACTGGCAGTAGAATTTTGTAAGCTGTCCATTTGCTTGTCTGCATTTAACAATTATTTAAGGATCCAACATACGAAGCGGTGTACTGAATCGTAGCTAAGATCTCTCTTGCTCAATGTCAGCTTGCTCTTAGGAATCAGACGAGAATGCTTATTGCGTTTTTTAAGAGGAATACACAAACTTAATTCCTCAGGATAATCTCCTAGTTAGTTCATAGTACAGCAGTGTCCTGAAGGAAAGGTGTTGTCTTTGTAAATAACAGCCTTTGTCAAACTTTTTTGTGCATTTATCTGTTTGTGTTTTGAACCCATCTGTGCTTTTGGTGTTTGTGGAATTTTGCATGAGGACTCATACCCGTATAAGAACCACATCAGTATATACACTATAAGAAACACATCAGCCGCCAACTTACTTTGCTTTTTATTTGCATTTCTTATCTTGGAAAGGATAGCCAACAGTTGTTCCCTACCAGTCTTTTTTGTTATCTGTTGTAAACACAAAACCTTTTATTCCTCGTTGATTATGGTCAACGCAGAGCCTATCGTTGTATAAGTGCTGTTACAGTTTTTTGTATGCATCACTTTATCTATATTGAATTTCATCTGTTATCTTCTTGTTATTCACTGTAAGACTCTGTTGCAGTTTGTTTTTATTACCCTAATTTAATTCCATCAGCAAACAGTCACCTTGTTTTATCACCTTTTCCAGATAAGCTATGAATATGTTGAAGCGTACAGACCTGAGTTAGATACTTCCACTGTGAAAACTGACCGTTTAGTCTTACCTTGAGTTTACAGTCTTTTAATCAATTACATATCCATTCAGTGGTTGTCCATTCTACCCTTTGGTATGTTAGTTTTTATCTTAGAGTCCTGGGTGAAGGTTCTTTTCAGAGGCCTTTGGATGTCCAAGTAGATTACGTCAGATACCTTTTGCCTACATGCTTGTTGATTTCTTCAGAGAACCCTACTAGGTGTGTGAGCCATTACTTTTATTTGCAAAAGGTGTATCTCTTCACTGCAGTGTCTTCTTTCTCCGTCTGCCCACTAATTCCATTTTCTAGAATAGCTTCTACAGACTCACTAGTCTGTAGATACTGGTATATGCACTAGGCAAATTAGTAGATCCAAGTCACTTAAATCCACTTTGCATTGGGCAAATTAGAAGATCGGAGTTACTGAAAACCACCTCACTGTCGGAGGATTAGAAGATCCTGTTCTCTGGTAGTGAGGTAGTTTTAAGAGTTCAATGCCACTCAAGTCAGCTATTTCATCTTTGCCTTTCCTGATGTTTGTATGAATGCTTATATGTTATTCTACCTATTTGTTCAATAACGTCTTCAGGCACTTTTACTTAAGATTTCTTTTCTAGCATTTCTTTTCTATGTTATATTCTATTCTGCAGATGTGATATTTTTTAGAATGTTGGTCTATTTTATTACTATTTTTATAAACATATGTGGAAAAATATTTGCAGAACTTCCAGGGAGGATCACCCATACTTTTAAAAAAGTTTTTTGATGCTTCAGCGTTCAGCATAAATTTCCACAAATATTTTCTTCACAGGTTTTTACAGTTGCAACACAGAAATTATGCCTGGCATAAATAACTGGACTTCCGATATTCAAGTAAGGTTATTTAGAGAAAATAAAGACCTTTTTTTCCAAATTATTTTGAAGTATTCTGTACCAATTTCAACAGATGCTAGAGATACTCGATTTGAAAGATAAATTAAAAAAGATACCATATTGTGATAGAAATGTAAGTAGTACTGTAGTTTAAAAAAAATTGTTACGAGGGCCTATTTTTTCATGTTTTTTAAATGCTGTTATATAGCATTGAACTCGTTACAAAAAATGTGAAAATTAAAAAGTAATTACAATAAATATGAATTTTAAGTTATCGGTCATTTTTAAGAGCTTAGCTAGATTTTAGAACCTCTTAAAAGAAACAGATTGTTGGATTTCTTACTTACTAAGAGATAGTTAATATGATTACATTAATATGTTAAGATAAATAAGAACTAGATAGATTGAACTGGAGGAAACATAAATTCCCTTTATGAGAAAGTTTTCAACGTTTCAGTCAGGCTTGTACAACAAAATGCAGTGTCATATACAGTGAGTCAAAACAGATAGAAGTGGGCTTTAACGCTTCATTGGCACAACGCAATACCATGCTCTGCAGGGGTACAGTTCGGTTCTGAAAACTGCGTGACTGCATCAGCATAGCATACTCTTAGGTTGATTGGATTGCACATGTATCTATATATGACACTCCATTGATGTCTACATTACTGTACACAACTTACATGTATTTTGTTACTGCTATTGAAAATTTTGTATAGAGGTAGCAGGATAGAATGACTCCTTTATGAGGCAAATAAAAGGAAATACAGTATTTCCATATTTGCTTAATCACCTTTTTCATATATTCCTATACACTAGTTCATAGAAATTCTGTGGATGTTTCCTTTTATTTGTAAAATGTCATGAGAAATCAGCATTTTATTTGACTGTTTCTACATTTTTCTCCTTTTCATCTCATTTTTCTTAATCATGTTATGAGTTATTTATCTTCTTTACAAACTTGTTTTGTTTTTTCATGTAACATATAGACATATTTGGGGGGAGAAAAATCAGTCTGTCTGTTTTTAATTCAGATGTTCACAGCAGTAAGAGTATCCAGATTGAGCAACATAAACTTGACAAATCAAACACTTAATAAGAACTTTAATGATCTCTGTGAGAATCTGTTAAAGGTAAGAATCTTATTTCAAACATATTTTAAATCATTCAAATAGAAGCAAAGTCAAATCAAACTGTACTGAAAATAACATTTGCTTCATAATTGCTTCTCAGAATTAGACTCTGTTAGACACTGTGTCTGCAATTCGTTTGTAAACTGCTCTAAAGATAGAATCTGATTAATGTATTCAGAATTTGCAAAGCTTTTTGAATCAGAATGAGTCCTTTCACTGGTAGTACACTCTAGAAACAGCAATAAAAAGACTACTGCACTGAGCAGATTACATTCTGCCATGAATTCTTACGTCTCACATTCTTCTTTGAGAGATACTAGTATGGTTAGATGATTTCTACTACGAAAAGAATTCTGGTCTTTGATTTCTCTGAAATAACCCATACATTTCTTAGAGTGACACGAATAATGTCTTCTTTTCAACAGAGCTTATATTTTAAACTACGATCTATGATTCCCTGCTGCCTTTGTCATGTAAATTTTACAGTTGCTCTTCCAGAGGATGAATTAGTTCAGGTAATTCTGTCTTTCAGCATGTAGATGTGCCAGTTTGGCCTTTACTCACAACAGCAAATGTTAATTAAACTAGGCTAGGATTGGGTTACTAGTACGTGTAGTGAATTCTGAAGAAAAACTTAGTCATGATGTCAAATGAAGAAAAAGGGTCACCAGTTTGAGAATCATGGGACTACATGGCATTAAGAGAGACTGTGCTCAAGCAATGCCATTGTCTTAGTAAGCTTAGTATGAAACTAAAAGACGAGAGATCTATAAAGGTTTTACCACGTATCTGGTATATGAGGGAGAAAAAGTATATGTGCAATATATTAGAATATAATATAGGTGGCACAATATGGCACACCAGATTCTAAGAATGGTATTGTTATAACTGTCTGAATTTTTCTTTCTGTTTCAAAGGGATGCAGTATACTTCCTGATTTTTAATAAAATGTTTTCTGTACAAATATAACATCATTTTTTGGTTAGTTAAAAAAATTCTTTATCTATCTCACAGATAAAGTGAGAAATATTTTTTTTTTCTCATTACACAAAGAAAATAATTGGTGAACAAATAATTGATGAACAAAATCAGGTGTATGTTTTAACAATGGACCTTAGTGTTAGCTTTTATGCTCTGCTATGAAGGGTTTTTAATGTTTCTGAATAGATTATTTTTTCATTGCTTTTCTATAGCAAAACTTAATTTTTACAAAAATCTTTCTGGAGATTGCACAAGAAGAATTTTATTTGAACTAATAGGCCATATATTTGTTTTACAGATCACAGTCACAGCTGTTGCAATTACATTTGACAAAAATCAAGCATTACAAGCTAATAAAGCCCCTACAGAAAAATCACAGCAAAGAGGTAAATGTGAGGCATATAAAGTTAAAAGATAGAGAGCGTGCGTGTGTATGTGTATAGTACCTAGTGATTCTACATTTTAATTTCACTTAAACATAGATATTTTCACAGGCAAGGTCTGTAAAATCATAGACTCCTAACACAAATTTGGATAAGGTTTTCAGAGTTCATGTGTGTGTCCTGCAGCAGGATCACTTACACTTGTGTGTGCTTATACTTAAACAGCTTATGGTAACATGAAAGAGGTGCTTGGTATTTCCTTATTCCACTTCTGTCTTTCCTTGAATATTTTTCTTTAAAGAGTTAATAGCCTGACAGATGACCATATTTGTACTTTATTTTGAAACACACAATGTAGTAATTAGAGAATGCTTGTGCTTATAAGTAGCACAGTCTGCCCTTATTGCAAGAAGGTAGAAAATAAATTATTCATGATACAAAAAAAGCCAAAAAACCTTAAGTAGGTCAGTTATATTTTTGGAGCTCAGTGAAGCATCTAGCACGGTTGGGGGGAATAGAAAAGACTACTGCAGTCTGTGTGTGTTATCCTGCTAATGAAGCACCGTCTTGTGCTAGAAAAATATGTACGTCATCTGCATATCTGAAAGGAATTTAGACAAATAGAATTTGGAGAATATTCCATTCTAAAGAATGGAATTAAGTAGTAGAGCATAGAGCCATGTGCTTCTAAAATATTGGTTATATCTTACCCTGCTCAATAGTAACAAGAAATTATTTTCTCTGATGTGAAATAAATCAAATGTTGCTTTCTTCTTTAACACAAGCTAATTCAGATCTGACTGGAGAGTCAAATGTAAACTATGTGAATTGGCTTAATAATTTTTCTTAAAATATTAAATGAAATCCTATAAAGTGTATTCAACCAATTTTGTAGCTGGATTTATTGTCAGACATCTAACTTCATACAGATCCACGTCACTATATACTTATGCTGAGTAAATCTGTTCCAGTCAGACCTGACTAAATTAAATCTGCAGTGCTTGTTATAATTGGCAAACCTTGTTTTGGGAATTAATTACCGATGTGATATGTTTTCTTGGTTGAAGCATCTACAGACAATGAAGAACAGCTACAATTTCCATTGGAACTTTGCTCTGATCCCCTTGCTTCTCAACCATTCTCACCGGCTAAAGGTTGGTTAAAGGAAAGAACACTGTCCTCTGTTCTTTGCTGAATTTGAGCACTGCTCTTTTATTGTTACAGTAGCTTTAAAATATCTGTACTTTCCATGCTTTAATGTTCTGGGCTACCTTAAGCATAATGGAAATGTTATGTCCTTAAATCGAATTTTTCAAGAGTTAGGTAAGAGGGTTTGCCTTAACTTTTCTTTCCATCTTCCCTTCTTCTATCTTTTGTTGCATTTAGTGTATTGAAAATAAGATAAAAAGGCCACTGGCTGTTGAGTGGCATTTAACTTTCAGGATTATGAATTATTTTATAATTAGGCTTGCCTCATACTGCTTTGTGTTTGCAAATAGCCCATAGAAATTAACTCCATGTACCACCAGCCTCAAATAATTCATGTCACGGTTCTCATGGTGAGAAATGTTTTATCTAGGAAATATTAGCTGTTCATCTGAACAAAATTGCCTGCAGGCTTTTTGAACTGAAAGGAGCCTAAACTTTTACATAATAAATAGCTTGGGTCACGCAGTACTTCTAGCTGTTAAACTACTGCTTTATTTTACCTGAGGTAAATGGTTGTCACGATTCTTGTATGAATATATTAAAAATCAGATGGTTATTCATGCAATCAGCTGTTTTTACTTCCTTCTGCATTGTTGGATAATCTGCCTGGCAAAATGGCTAGTGATAAAGGAAATCTAATAAGTGTAGATTATTGACAGTTTTCTTCACTGAATGGTTAAAGAGCTTCCTCTTTTGCCCATTGCATGAATTCCGCTAAAGAAAGGTTTCTACCATATTTACTTGTATTTTCAGGGATCAGTTTAATTTCAGCAATAGTATTCTCATTGTTTTGTAGTTATTTATTTTATGTATTTGTGTGTCCTTAACTTTTGATTGGTCACGCTATCATAATGTTAACCTTTCAGTTTTCAAACGGATCTATAAACTCTGACCAAGATAAACTTTCCCTTTATTTTGAGGACCAGAGGAAAAAGGTTTTGCAGTAACGACACTTCAAAACTTATACCCTCTATTTTACTGTGACAGGGAGTTGTTGGTTTTGAAGTCCTGGAGTCCAATGTTCAGGCTCCACAATTATCCTGTAATCTTGAGATCTGGCATTTAGCGTGCAAAAAGGGAACGTGCATTAATATTACGGCAAATTCTGTTGTTATTCCCCGGCGTAGCAGTCTCCCTGCTTCTGTTTCCCTCAAGTCTATCAGTTATGATTGAGAAAGTAGGGAAGCGTTTTGTCACTTAAATAGCAGCAAGAAGCGATTCTTCAAAGGTGATGCTATGTTATTTTAAAATTTGGCTCAGTCTTAGTTCTCTATAGAATGAAGAATTGGTACATTTCTGTAAAATCTTCAAAACAGATGCTTTTTAGACTTCAGTTATTTTATTTCGAATTCTCAGTAAAAATGTTAAGTCTCATCTGTCTGCAGCAAGAGTGAGCCTTTAATGTCTTTTCACTATGCTATTTGTATAATAGGTACTGACCAGTAGAGGGTAGTCTGTTCATATATATCACTTTTCCCAGTTTTCTTCACGTTTTTGCTGTATTGTACATCACTGGAGGCTTTCAGCTAGATAATTATCTCATCAGTCATTTCTTTACAAGTAGACACTGAGGCTTCAATGTAGTTATAGTTGCTTAGCAGCTTGTTTAATCTGTTGATCTCCTTATTCTACTTACTTTTCTGTAAGTTTGTTATCTTTTAAATATTTGTATACAACCTTGTACTGTAATGAGCTTTAGTTAACAAGCTGCTGTTATCACCGTTGAAGTAAAAATTTGAAAGGTTAACGTTCACCTAGTTATTTTCAATTTTTGTATTATCTCATTTTAAAATCACGTACTAAGGAAAGAGTAAAAAAAACATTAGTGGGATGGGAAAATTATGTTTTTATCTAAACAGTTTTGTTTTTTTGACTCTTGTAAACATAAATCAAAATGTAAGATTCTTAAGACTGATGGTTACTGCATATTTTTATTTGTTGAATTCTTTATTTTGTTTTTCTGCTCCCAATTTTCCATTTGGCAGCATTTTATGCATCTGATTTCATTGTTAAGCAGTTGCTTATCTTGTTCAACAGTGCTGTGAAAGGGCACCGCACCCACATGCTGGTGTGGAGAAGTGCAAGTACTTTAGAGATGCTACTTGTTATTACGTGAGCTGAGCTTGTGAGTTAGGAGCCTGAAGAATGAGCCTTTTTTTAGGGAGTCTTGCTCACATTTGGTGGCATTAAGAGTTGTTTGGTCCTGTCCTGTTCCTTTCTTTTTCAGAGGTTTTCTTTGTTGTTTTTTTTGTTGGGTTTTTTGGGTTTTGTTTTTTTGAGAAGTGGAAACGTAACAGTGGGATGAGGTTCTGGTTTTTGTTTTTGGTAGCAGTCTAGAGAAGAATTTCTAGAATCTCCTTTTCCTTCCTCATATGTCTGCATGTTGTCAGGGCCCTGAGGAAGACTGGAAAGGTTAAAGGATTTTAGCACTCCCTAGGACACTGCTGTACACACACTGTAGTACATGGTATATGCTGATGTGTATATATGTACTGTTGTACATATTTCTCTGTACATATTATAGTATAATATATGGTGTAGTAATTAAAGAAGTTTCCTTTTTTATAGCAGACTTAAGATTGATGCTTTTGCTGTGCTAGTTGTCAGTCCTTACAACTCTGGAAATTATTATTTGTTGGTATTTGTTACTGATTTTTGTTTGATTATCGATACTGTTTGTTTATAAGCATGAGCTCAAGTGCAACTGAGTAAGACTTTAAACATGATTAAACTGCAGACGTAGAGAGAGATTTCAAGTTTTCCAATTTTTGCCCGTAAGACCCTTGAGATAGATGAGATGCATGTGATAACTTTTGAACAAGTAAACAGAGATAAGCCATCATGTTTGGTTGCTTTGTCTATCATAAAATCTTATGTACTATCAAAGCAATATGATCTTTGAACATACTCAGTTTGATTGTACTTAACTCTTCCTAACTACTTAACTGCCTGTTCCCGGTATAGATGGGAAGAGAGGGAGAAAATTGTAACGTATGTCAGAAACTAAGATGCCAAGAATGATTGTAAAATAAGCAGAAAGTAGAGGGGCAAACTGTGATCCATCCAAGTGGACTGCAGTTGAGTCTACCGTAGTAAGCTTTTTTTTTTTTTTTCCCTAAAATGCTTATAAAGCCTCCTGTAATCAGAAGAGGACTCTTCTTGTGTGTGTGTAAATAAGTATAGAATAAGAGACAAATGTGGTATATGTTGAGAAGCATTGGATGTCTCCCAGTAGCCAGTTAAATATTCTTAATTGTTTTTGATATTGAAGCTTGCAGGCAATTAAATGTTATTTGCTATGCTGCTAATCTCGATTTATACAGAGGATTGGTCAGAAAATATGTGAAACCAGATGCAAGTACAATAAACCACTTTCTGTAATGGGTAAACTGTTAAAACCAGTTTTAACCTTAGAGGTAAAGGCCTGAGTATGTATAAGAAAGCTGGGGGGAAGGGGAATAGGGCAGAGAAGGGAACAAGGAGTGAATAAGATCCTGTTGAATTAATAGCAAAGATCAGTAAGAAACTGCAGCACAGGAGAAACATCTATTGAAATACAGTGACAATCAGAGAGCAGTAAGCATTCTATAGATAAGGTATTCTGATGTTGCAAATTCTCCAGACATGTTTAAGGATTGCACTAGTTTAGTTTAAGGGCATGAATCATGATAAGAAGATACTAGTGTTAATATGAAGCGTGGAAGCATCCAACAAAATATATGACTAGAGTCAAAGTGAAAATTTCGTTCTTGTTACTTTTCTTCTGCTTATAGTTAAAAGAACAATGAACATATTTTAAGCGTCAGTTTCGAATAATTGGCCAGGGGAGTTTGAAGCAGTGTACTAATTCTGTAAAGATTTTTAGTGTTTGGAGGGTTGTTAGTGATTGCAACTTCTTCAGAGAGTATAATTGCTGTGGAACTGATAGTTTTTAGTTAGAAAATTAACATATTTCTGTTAAGATAGGAATCATTTGTGAAAGGAAGTGTTCTCCTGGTAAAGATCTCTCAGCAGAGAAAGGAGTGCGAGAAGACTGCAAATTGATGTTAGCAACAAGTTTTGTGATTCGCTCTGTGTGTGTGTGTGTGTGTGTGTGTGTGTGTTTTTTTTTTTAATCCCATGATTTTATAAAGAGACTGCTCTGACATCCGGTATCTCACTTGATTTTGTTGGAACTCCATGTTAACATGGCAGCTGTCACAGGCGTCAAAATGCAAAACAAGGATTTAAAAACAAACTTTGCTTTTTATTTGGTGAAATATCCTCATTTTAACCTTCTTTGTATTTTTTCACAAAAAAATTAACAAAATATTGACTTAAAACATCATAAAAGACACTAGATTAAAGACCCTTTACATCTTTGCCATAGTTCTTAAAGGTGGATCTGCTTTCTTTTTGTTGTTGTTTTTTTAGCATAAGAATCTTGGGCTGGCAGGCAGAAGGTGCCTTTTCTTTACAATATTAAAGTCCTCCAGGGTTAACTGTTAAAAATTATTATTGTTTCACTTTTGCCACTGTTTTCCCTAAAGTATTAATGATGTGCTGAAATGTAGAGTCAAGTCCATATAACTACTGATGTGATAGACTCTCCTGGGAGCTTCCCTGCTTGCCCACTTCTTTTTCATCAAGGATATGGCCTCATTTCCGTGTATCCATCATTTTGTCCTAGCATATGTCAAACAAGTGAAATAACTTCAGCAGCGGCTCTCACTAAAAGCGTGCATACGCTCAGCAAAATCTCCCAGAAAACAGAGTGCCTGTTCTTCATGCTTTTGGAAGCTGTTCTAACATTAACAGTTTTACCTTTAGTTTTTTACCCAACTCAGAGCAGGTTTAGGGTTGAATTTTGAAAATTTAGTGTTATCAGTATCTACAAATTATATTAAAGGAAATTTTGAGTTTTTAAGCATGAAATGAAAGAAGCTAGCATTATTACGGGTGGCTTCAGTTTTTTACACTCTCTGATAGCAAGTTTCAAGAGAGGGATAATCTTCAGTTTGGTACTTTGAAGTGATTCCCATTGTATGCTAAATAATATTAAGTAGTGGTATCTACAAATGAAGTCACAGATTTTTTTTTTCCTCTTAATAAATTACTGCCATGTGTTAAAATTTTCCTGTAAAGTGTGCAAATAGCCTTAGAGCTTTCAAAATATCATTTTTGCAGTGAGGAAGCATAACACCAGCAAAGAACCAGTTAGCATTTTTCCCAGTTGGTAGCAATTTTAGAGGCCTTGCAGTAAGTTAAAGGTATGCTTTGCTGCAAGAAAACTTAGGAAGCAGAATGCATTTTTATGTTGTTAGTGCTCTTTCAGCACATTCCTTGTACGGCACCAGTATCGTAGTTGACATCTGTTCTTCACTGTGATCAGTTTCTTTCAGGGTAGCTTTTACAGAATGTTCACCATTGGACCTTCTATCCTTCTATCAACATCAAACAAAAGAGTTAAGAAATTTTATATATTTTTGTTTTTAAACTTTGAGGCTCATGTATTGAGACTTGAGCAACCAGGTAGAAAACCAAGCTTTCTAAAGTCTCCTTACAACTAACAGGTTAATATTTCACTATGAGTAGGATTCACGTGAGCGAAAGTACTTATTTACTTACTTCTGATCTAGTTGTCTTGATTCCCTTTATAGCCAGTGGAGAGAAACATACACTACTAGGACACAATACAGTTTGTCCTACAAAAAAATGTTAATTTTAGGATCAGATGTATTAAGCTCTAAAAGTATCTGTCTGTCCTCATAAAGGGGGCAAAAATGATTTGACATGTAAAATTGGATGGGAAGAAACGATCCTCTGTTTCACAGAGACTCAGCATGTTTGCATATCATCAAGACACAGATAGGAAAAGTGGTTTCCCTCTCATCAGTTTGTGTGTTAAATCCCATCATTGCAAGTAGGATCTTTTCTGTTCGCTGCTTCTCATTTTTTACTGTGACAAATAGCCTAAGTTGTGATCATTTTGAAAGTCTAATATATTATCATGCTAGAAAGTGGAAAAAGTAATTATTGTAAGGTTAAAGTCACTTATGGCAATATAGCCTACATTTATTTTTGCATTAAAATAGTATTTTAAGAGTTACTAAAAGGTGAAAAGCCAAAAGTCAGATTGAGACCCAGTTTCTGTAATTTCACACTGTAGAAATAGACCATAAATTCATCTTTCTCGTGCAAACTACCAGAAGAGTGAAAAGGACAGTCTTCATAGGGCCATTATTTCTAGCAACCTTAACTGTCAGTCATTGTTGGTGATGACAGTAAATGTACTGGAAGTGATGGCTGTATTTGTTTGTTTGTATACTTTTGAAAGTAGAATTGGGGAGTGTGCTGAAACCGGTGTAGGCTTAATGGGAGGGTATGTCTTATCCAAACAAAAAAAAAAAAAGCCTGATTGGAAGCCTGATATATGATTTTGATCTTGCTCTTTCTTCCTGTTTCAGGAACAGCTAAGTTGAGAGCTTATCTGTTGCTTTGTGTTCAAAGGGAAATCAAAATTAAGCTCAATTTTTCCCCGTTTCCTGAAAATCTTTGTTTTCAGTAATAGATGGGAGATGAAAAAAAGGCAGTGGTTTAATTGTTTCAAATAAACTTTTGAAGTTTTTTTTGATTTCTGGAACATACAGTCGTAGTCACTTAGCTCCTATTTAAAAAGAAGAAAAGGTTTGAATTAAATTCATTTAATATGAAAGTCTTAATTTGGTGTAGAGTGCATTTCACTGTTTTCTCTTCTATAGTTAATGGTCCCCACTGTGTGTTTTCTCTATGTTCTGTATTTATTATCTAGTCCCATATCTTGGAATGGCCATGAACCATCTCCATTGTATGTGTATATATATGTGTGTGTGTGTATATATAAATATATATATATAGCATTTATATATAAAAATGCTATATTTTTCTCCAGTCCCATTGAACTTACCATGTAAGCTATGTTAGGTTTTTTGAACTCCTTGTTAATCATATCTTACTGCTTTTGCAACTATATTTAATTATCCAGTTATTCTTCAGTCATAGCTATTTTTTTTTAAAGACCAAACTACTCTTAGCTGCTTTAGAGAACTCTGTAGTAACAAAACAAATGATCTCATTTTAATTTGTAAGACAGATTTAATATAGTTAGTTACTTGCACCAGTTTATAATGTGCTACCAAGATAGATTACATATAGCGTAACATATATAGAAGATTTTTTCTGATATTTTACTCTTGAAAATTGTTTGTAAGAAGAAAACTGTTGCCACATACTACTGAACTCTACAATTAATGGTGCGCGTACATTAGCTGAATGGAATTCATTTTGTCTTATTAGAGGTCTTGGAGGGTGCAAGTTCCCACACAGGTATTCCTGCTACGCAGAGAGGTGAGTTCACCTAATTTAGCCATGTGCCAGAACAGAATGAGCATTCTTGGGGCATTGGTATACTCTTTTTGGATGTATCTTAATCCAGGAAGTGTTTACTAGTTAACTGAGAATGCATGCTCTGATGTGGCTTATTGATATCACAATATTTTGATTTTTTTTAATTGCAAAATTCAGATTTTTTAATAAAAAGTCTCTCTCTGTCAGATTATATTGTTATCCCTTTATTTGCTAGAAAATCAGTTTCTTGAGAGAGAGCTTTTTTGCTTTTAATATCTTGTCTTAATTTGAAGTTAGCATGTGTTCTTTTTGTTTCTTCAGGATAATGAAGAAATGGTGTTTGCAAACCTTTTTCTAAAGATATGCAAACACCCCTGCAACTAAAAAGTCATAGCAGAAACAACTCTAGTTTTCACTGTAATGAAAATTTGGGGGTTAGGGGAGGGAGGGTTTGCAAGGAGGGAGGAGGATGGCGTTTTTTAAGAATACTTTCCCACTTAAAACTTAGGTGTTGTTTCAGCTTGTGACTCCTATTCTAATCCCCCCCAACTTTTTTTTTGGTATGTAGATTAGCTATTGATAATCGTAGTCAGGAGGTTTAATTCATGGTCTGCAGCTCTTTATGAAAAAAGGGAATAGCACTGCAAATTAAAATTAAACAAGGCATAAATAAACTTGCAGAAGCCAGAAATTAATACCTAATATCAAACTAAAAAAAAAAACTTAGCATAAGGCGTTAATGATTGTATTTGCGTGTTTTTTCAGTGATGAAGTCCCAGTCAGGCAGATGTGACATCACCAGAAATCGGTACACTGCTTTGGACAAGTGTCCAAACCCATACTGTAACTTTTACTTTAAACAGACCTGGAAAGGGATGTTCATTCTCTCTCAGACACAGATAATTGCTTCCTCAGAAGGAGCATTGAGATGAGCAAGAGACATCATCCATATTTTTTTTCTTTGTTTTTTCTTTTGTTTTTCTGTCTGTGTTTTCAGCAACGTCAATTGATTACAGTTCCTTTGCAGACAGATGCAACAGCTGGATAGAGCTCATTAAACTGAAAGCTCAGACCATAAGGCGCGGATCAATTAAGACAAGTAGGCGGCTGTTTCTACCACGTTATGATAATCTGAGACATATCTCTGATTTCCCAGTGGTGAATAGTGGAGTTCTCTGCCCAGCAATAGTATTTCAGATGAAATGTGGAATGAATATCTGAGTGTGAAAACTGCAGACATTCTTAATGTCTGTGTAAGCTAGTACAGGGATTATGAGCTAGTATCATAAAGAGCAAAATACAGTATTTCTGTTCACTTAGTAAAATTTAGTTATTGATAAATGTGTACGCCTACTAATTATATAACATACACTGCATGGATGTAGGTGTATGTATGATCTTGGAAAATTATTGGTGAGAAACAGGAAGCAATCACCAAGGTGACAGTCAAGGCAATGGTCACTAAATTAGCAAGTGGTGAGTTATTCTTCAGTAGTTCTTTGGCCACAGGTCTGACTATCTTGCTTAAATTAGCAGAGATTAATATATGTTTTAATGGAAAATGCTGCACTGGGGAAACACAACAACTTTCACACTCTCCTTACAATAATTTATTCCTCCAGCAGAATATGTATTTCAAAATGTTGGCACTTTTTTCTTTACCTTCACCTTATAACTGATTGTTGTATGTGCAGCTACTCGCCTCAATGTTTTCTTTTGCAGGAATGCCACTCTTCCAAATAAATTCCATTTCAGCTTTTGTCTCCTTTTGCATGCATTGCATGATAATTTCCTTTCTCACATGATATGGCTGAGCATCACAGGCAGCTGAATGTTGTCACCAAGCTATTTGGAAACCATAAAGAAGAGTTGTGTGTTAAGAAATATTAATCTTAATGTGGTAGTTACTTTCTTTTCTTTCTTTTCTACCTCTTTTAGCTGCTTCACTTGATAAAGCAAGTCCACTGGCTGAGGGACACTTACGGAACCGTTCTGTTCCATCATGCACCAATTCTACCGTCTCAGTTGTTAAGATGACACCTCTTTCCTTTATACCTGGGGCAAAAATAACCAAATATCTTGGGATAATCAACATGTTTTTTATAAGAGAAACCACTTCTTTGCGTGAGGTGAGCTGCATATCAGGAATTGGCACTTTTTGTTAATTATAATAAACAAAGCAAAAATACATAATTTAGTATCTGCAGAGGTTTGAGTTGAGGTATGGCACAAGAGAACTGAGGCTTTATGACTTGAGGCTAGGTGCTGAATGAGGAGTAAGGGACCATTGTGCTGCTCTTATCCTCAAAGAACTGCTTTTGGCATTTTGTGTCTTCTCAGCAGCAAGTAGCTAGTGATACTCAAATGATGAATTCCAGTCTGGATCTGGACAATAAATATTGCCCTGAGCATGCCAAAATTTGAGATATGTTCCTTATCATTTTGCTGTCATTTTGGGAAGTAGCTGCATCCTTCTGCCACAGTTTCCAGTCACAGCAATGGAATGCACCTCTTGTCTGGCTTGTCAGGGCTGAAGCTGGTGTGCTGGTGCTGCTAATTACACATTGATAAAATTATGTAGCAGATTTAATAAAAATGATCAGCCTTCATAAAAATGAGTTAAGTAGCTCTCTGTAGAAACTTTTATCAGGCAAACTTCTTGTTTGGATCTTGCAAATTATGGCCTCTTTTAATGTGAGCAATCTGTGTGAAAATGACATTTTCATAAAGGTATACCATACAACCTGGGAAATGGTTGCATAACAGTTATTGTTCTAGCTGCAGTTTCTGTAGATACAAATTAAACGCTGATATGCAAGCTTTGTAACTCTGATAGCAAATCTCAGCAGATGTAGGTTGCTCAAGTATTTATTCCGGTCCTCCATGAAGTCGGGAAGCCTGTACAATGTCTGTGATGCTGTCAGTGTGCTATTTTCAGCACCTAGGGCAGCTAGTTTAAATCTTTTTCAGCTACATAGGCTGAGTCACAAGCCAGTTTTAATACTAGTTGCATATTATTGCCCTGAGGCCATAACAGAGTCAAAACACAGTAGCAACTTGAGCAGTTTATTTCAGATTCTACAGAAAAATAATTAGCAGCATTTGTATAGTAAATTCAGGTATGGTAGTTTATAGGATTTTGAGGCCTATAAAGACTTTCATAAGTACAAGTATTTAATGTAAGACACTGCTTCAAAAATTAATGGCACTTTTAAGTCTAATTTATCCATTGCTTTTAGGCTCTGTGGTTTACGTGTGGATATGCGTAATCTTTATCAAATTTTATATTTATTTATAACATTACTGAATGTTTTTCACTAGTTACTGTAACTGTTCAAACACTCTGGAAAAAAATTACTTTGCATGGGGAGTGATAAACTCATGTTGACATTTTGGGTTCTGGCTGCAGTTGACTTCATTTATTCTTTATGCATTGATGAAATTATATTTGCCAATTTATTTATTAATCTTCATCCACGATATGTTTCTGTTTTCTGTCTCCTCATCTCCTTATCTATCTATTCAGGGTGGATTATACTTTTTCCAGTAGTGATTAGGGCAGCCCAGTTGAAGTTGAGCTTAGTTATGTCGTTTCTTCTGCCTGCTTGACTTATTTGCTCCAATGGCACACACGTGGGAAGGCTACTGGTTTTGCCTTTCAATTTCGTGCTGAACTTTTACAGATCTTTAGATTCAATAGTGAGCTCTGTTCCATCAGTTTGTTTCTTCAGTCTTTCCTGATTTTTTTTTTTTTTTTCTCCCTGAAGTGGTTGCTCATTTTCTTTCATAAGGACTGTCTGTGGAAAACTGTACTTCATTGCTTTCCTTCTCCTCCCTTCACTCCAATTTGAATCATCCAGTTCGTAGCCAAACAAGCAAAAATCCCCCACAACCACAGTCAAGTGAAAACAATAACTAAGCATGATGGCTAGAAGTTCTGTTGGGCTTCATAGAAAGAAAACGCTTAAGAGCTTGCTTGGCATGAGGCAGAGCAGAGAACTGGGCTTTGATATATTTCAAATGTTCATTTCCCTACAGTGAAGGTCGAAAACTAAAGACAGCCATTAGCAGATATGAAGTCACACTGACCAATGGTGATGGGCAGTCTCTACCAGTCACTGCCTGGAAGTTAAGTCCCTTTTAATCCTCAGTTCAGTAGAAGCTATTCTGTACCTGCTTCCCAGTTTTCAGAAAAAATGGGCAATATCCCATTGGCCCATGAAAGAAAATAGCATTACACAATTGTCACTGGAATATTGTGTGCTCCTGCAAAGGTGTAGGAATGTCTGATAAGTATGGGTAATGTAATATACTGACTGCAAATAACAGTCCAAGATGAATAACCTAGTTTTTCTTTTACTCACACAGAAGTTCCATGGATGTGATTTTTAAGCGTGACCCATTACACAGTGTTTCTTGGAGAGTAGTGTTTAAGTTCTGTACATGTTCTGTTAGGACTCACTGGAACACTCAACAGATAAAAATGTAAGAAAGGTATTCAGCATCTTGTACTGGTGCTTACGTAACATGTCTTTGTATTGTGTATTTTCTTCCATTTTAGGAAGGAGGTGTCAGTGGTTTTCTCCATGCTTTTATTGCTGAAGTGTTTGCAATGGTGAGAGCTCATGTGGCAGCTTTAGGGGGGAATGCAGTTGTCTCATACATAATGAAGCAGTGTGTTTTCATGGAGAACCCAAACAAAAATCAGGTAAACTGTGATACGAAGTAATAGTGCTGTTACAATTAGGATGATACAAATGTGTGTTTTATTAAAAAAATGAAAACCAAAAAAACTGTAGAGCTATGTCTGCACAACACTTTTGGATATCTCTTCATAATATTTTTTTAAAGAAGCCAAGAGCATTCTAACCCTTATATTTACATGAAAATGCAAACATGTTAAGCGGGTAAAAATACTAAAATCACTAAACTGAAGTAAATTACAGGAAATGGTAGTGCTGATTTTATTTAGCTTTCGTAATGTTGCAATGTTAGTATTTTCATCCTTATGTGGAGTTGCTTGCGTAAAATGATCTATTTTGGCTGTAAAGGGAGAAAACTTAATAAGGAAGGCAACCAATTCTGGTATTTTTGGTATATGAAATGTTTTCAAAGGAGTAGTGAAGGGAAGCTCAGATACCCAAATATTTCATTTGTGGTAGTCTTACAAGGATCTGTTTGCATGTCTATCTGTGATTTCTGTCCACTTTTCTACTAGCTATGTAGCTGTATCTAGCAACTATAAATAAACATTGCAAAATATATAATAAAATATTTAATGTTTGGTAACTGCATCTTGTCCTTTTTTTTTCAGGCCCAGTGTTTAATAAATGTAAGTGGAGATGCAGTCATCTTTGTACGCGAATCTGAGTTAGAAATGTTACCACTACAGCTTTCTACAGCTGTTCCTCAACCCACAAGTTCTGGAGATGTCACAACATGAAGTCAGAAAAAGTGAAATTGTCTCTGGCAAATATAAAGATTGTTTAAAATATGGGAATTTTAGGTCTGCATCTTCAAAATCAGTCTCTCTCCACAACATTAATGACCAAAATTGAAGACAATCACTGCGTTTTGTCCTTCAACTTTATGTAATAATCAGGGCAGGATATTGGCAGGGATGCTCTTATTCTTCTTTTATTATTACAAGCCCCTTTGAAATACAGACAGAAGATGAAACATTGATATGGAAATATAGATTAAAATAGTAGACACCAAATGGAACTATGAAAGTAAATAAAAATGCTATTACATTTTTAAACTGCTCAACAGGACCAGGATGAGCTATAATTCAGAACAGCCTCCGAGTTTTCTTATTGTATTAATTAATTCTGAGATCATTATTTAAAAAAAAAAAAAAACTAAAAAAGGAAAGATAATTGAGAAGCCTGTATTAGCAACCATTGTTGAAAGAGCAAGAGATTTGTGGACCAGTTAATAAAAAGTGGAATGAAATCTGAACTTGTCTTAGATCATAGAGTTTGAAGAAGAAGCAACAAAAATATCACAGTTTGAATTTCTGCACACTAAAAATGTTTTTCAACTGTTTCTGAACTACTGAATATTTTTTTATTGTAAAGTATATATTTTTTTTTTAAGTTGCTGGACAGCGATGCTGTATTGTAATAATCCATGTAGAGAAAGAAAGAAGTTTTTTATGCGGGTTAGGTGCTATTATAAAAAAAATTCATTTCAGCATTGATAAAGATATTTTTCTTCTCTCTCTCTCTCTCTCCCCCCCACTCCTCCCCCCACTCTCCTTTCTCTCCCCTCCTCTCTCACTTTCCCCGAAAGATTCTGTGAAAGAATTGTCCTGAGGCTGATTTTCCTAAGGCACAATCTCCTGCAAGGGTAACATAAACTAGGTTCTCTGAAAGTCACTTATACAAAGGTGTAATCTAGGCTCCTTTCGATTTAGCAAGCTGGAAAAGCCTGGCTAAGAGGGGCTAAAGTATGTTTGTGGTGTTCATTTCTGCAAGTTGTTTTTCTTTTCCCGTTCTCTAACTGGGAAATGAGGGTACTGTGAGGAAAAACAAGTTTTCATTTCCAGCAGATCTCTGAAAGACATTGATAAATTAATATAAAAAATTGAAACATTTGATTTGAAGATGCATTCTCGATGAATTCTGACAGCTTCATATATGGAACTTGAAAAAATATGTAAACTTGAATGTAAATACTCTGCTTAGTGCTGAAATTAAGCAATGGCATGATTATTTGTTAAATCTAATTATTTCATTGTATATGAGCATGAAAATCATTCTTTGCACAATAAATTTCTGTATAAAATTTCTTGCTTTTTATATGTGTAATAGTTAAATGTGAATACTGGATGCATATTAAAGAGGTCCCACCCCCATTCTCTTTAAAAGAACATTTTTGTAAAGAGTATTAAAACATGCTTATTGGAAAGTCAGAGACTTCATTCGTTGTCTTTATATTTAAAATGCCTGAATTAGGTGCTTACCTGAGCACTTCACTAATACAGTTAATTATATTTTTCTGAATTCTGCAGCTGTTGTAACCAAAGCTGCCACAGATGAAATCGACTGTAAGTAGTTGTAGTTCTCTTGATTTTTTTTTTTTTTTTGGAAGGCAAATCTTTTCTTTTTGAATCACAGAATCACAGAATCGTTTAGGTTGGAAGGGACCTCTGGAGATCATCCAGTCCAACCTCCCTGCTCAAGCAGGGTCACCTAGAGCATATTTCCCAGGATCACATCCAGACGGGTGTTGAATATCTCCAGCGAAGGAGACTCCACTTCCTCTCGGGGCAACCTGTTCCAATGCTCAGTCACCCTCACAGTGAAG